GTGGGCAGAGGCAGCTGGCAGTGCGGGACGCCGCGAAGCGCTGAGGGGTCTGTTGTTCTCGCAGGCTGATCTTCGGCACCCTCTACCCCGCGTACTCCTCCTACAAGGCCGTGAAAACGAAAAACGTGAAGGAATATGTGAGTACGGGTTCGCCGTGCAGGCGCAGCGCCCGCCCTGTGTCTCGCGGCCGCCCCGCAAGCCCCCGGCCTGTCCCCGAGGCGAGGACTCTCCGGCTTTGCAGGGCTGTCGGGCCAGCCAGGCCGCCTGAGCAGCAGCCCCGTCTCTGGAGAAGTTGCCGAGGAAGGGCGTTTACTGTATCAGGAGGTTTCACATCATAATCGTGGGCTGTTTTTTCTCAGGAGATGCTGAGTGAGGAAGGGAAAGCGGGTGAAACACTGCAGTCTGGAAGCATCTGAAAGTCCAGGACAAGTTCTTTCCTCTAACTTTAACCTTCCTCTGTGTCCTTTTACTGCTTTTTCAGTACTACTTTTATTTTTTTCCAAAAGGCTGAGTAATCTTGCTTGGTTTGTGTCTTTCTATCCACCTTGCTTGTGATCAGTGTTATCTGTTGGTCAAGACTTCATCCTTCTTCCTTTCTGGAATCATTTCCCCTTCTCTGTCTCTGCAGTTGTTACAATTACTGTATTTAAAACACTAAGTGCTTTTTAGTGATGTGATGTGTCACCTTTTCACGGAAGGGGTGTTCTACATTGGTCAGTGGACATGAGCTATTTGGCTTATGGGTGGGATGACTTTCCATTTGTCTAGAGCGAGGTGTAACCTGATGGAGAAGAGAGGTAACATGGGTGAAGAGGATATAATTTGTCAATACTGCTTTCAGGTGCAGTCTGAGACTCTTCATCCAACTGGCTCTGTTTGCTTCTTACAAAATGACACGTCAACAGTAAATATTGCAGGATATAGTTCTTTTTTTTGTCTCGTGTTGCCTCAGTCCTCTAGAATTGCCTAGGCCTTTCCTATGTGTTGGCTGAAAATTCAGCCCACTGGTTTTTGAAGGAGATGCCAGCTGAGGTGAGCTTGTAGCGGACAGCTTTACAAACAACAACATCTAGCTGATGTGTTTTTGGGGTTTTTTTGTTTATTTTGGGGGGGGTGTTGTTTTTTGTTTGTGTGGGGTTTCTTCGTTTTTTTTTTTGTTTGTTTTTTTTTAATACTGGTCTCAGAGAAGTTGAAGTGTGAATGTTCAGGAGGCATTGATACAGTGTTTTGACTGAGTTTTAGAGACATAGTCAGAAATACAGTGAGTCTTACTGAACTTTGAAGTTCATTAGTAATAACATTAGGAACTGAAAAGAAAGCATGAAAGAAACTATCTGAATAATCATATGATCCTGTGACTTAGAATCATAGAATTGTTGTGGTTGGAAGAGACCTCAAAGATCATCAAGTCCAACCATATACCCGATGCCACCATGCCTGCTAAATCCACTAAACCATGTCTCGAAGCGCCACATCTAAACATTTTTTGAACACTTCCAGGGATGGTGAGTCCACCACCTTCTTGGGGAGCCCGTTCCAATGCCTAACAACTCTTACAGTGAAGAAGTTCTTCCTAATATTTAACCTGAACCTCCCCTGGCGCAACTTGAGACCGTTTCCTCTTGTCCTATTGCTAGTTACCGGGGAGAAGAGACCAACCCCCACCTCGCTACAACCTCTTTTCAGGTCGTTGTAGAGGGCGATAAGGTCTCCCCTCCTCCAGACTAAACAACCCCAGCTCCCTCAGCTACTCCTCATAAGGCTTTTTCTCCAGGCCCTTCACCAGCTTTGTTGCTCTTCTCTGGACACGCTCCAGCAGCTCAATGTCCTTCTTGTAGTGAGGGGCCCAGAACTGAACACAGCACTCAAGGTGCAGCCTCACCAGTGCTGAGTACAGGGGGACGATGGCCACACCATTGCTGATACTTCTGATAACATACATAACTTCATAGTTATCTTGTTATGTATGAAGTAGTATTGTATTACTGTTATCTTCTCTGGCCTTCCTCTCCTCTTTCCTTCCAGTTGCCGATGACCTTCATTTGTTGTATGAAATGCATGTTTTTTAATCCAGATTTTTATTGTGGATTATGACTGTCTGTCATGGAATGGTTGTGTTCCAGTTACAGAAACTTTAAAACAGACTTAGATTTCAGAGTTCTAAATTGTTTTGGGGAGAACTTGAGAGGGGAGAAAAAACAGCTCATTTTTTAAAAACAGACTGTAGCAATGCTTGTTCTGGAGCTCAAAGACCTAGTAAATTTGAAGCCTTTGAATTTGCAGGCATTCTTTACAGTAAAAACCTGCTTATTTTCTGTGGGTAGGTTAGCTGTTGAGGTACATAAATGCTGTGTTTCCTTGCAGAACATAAACATTGTATTGATCTGATTTTCTTTTGGTAGATGTTACCTAAATTGCTGTAAGATTTTTCTAATCTGATGGTGAAAAATAAATGACATACAATACTTGAGTATCTTAAAGTTGTCTTAACAATAATATGAACTAATTACCTGGTTGTTAGCCTCACTAGGGCTCATATAGAAAAGTATGGCATTTTTGGGTTTTGTTTAATGCTTCATTGATACAGTTTTCTTGAAGTAGGTATTTCTGGATTGCTACAGCAGAAACTTTTCTGCTTTTATTTTCAGTAAAAATACTGGACTTCATTCAAGAAAATGTATTTGAACTGCTAAAACTGATCTTAAATATAAATTAGTTCTCCTTGAGAGGACTACATCGGAAATAAACATTTAGATGTTGGACTGCTCTCTGCCTAACTCACTTATCTTTGTAGTGCTCCTTCCTCCTCAATATAAGTGGAAGGATGGGGAAAAACAGTTTTGTTAAACACAGGAAAGGAGGCCAATATCTGTTCAAACCGTTTTTCATGTGGAAAGTCAGTGGAAAGTTGAATGCTGTGCTACGCATTTTCAAAGCCAGCTGTGTCTATGTATTACTACTTGCTCATAGTGCTTAAGAACCAACATTGGTGAGGGAGAAAGATCTTACAGGTGCAACTATGCTAGAGAGTGTGGTGTATTGAAGACTGAGTTGACACAGACCAAGCTACCACAAGCAGTCCATCCATGCATCAGAGTACAGTGCAAACTTCTCCCCTACCGTGGTATAAATTTATGATAAGTCCTCGAGCAGCTGTGACAAACTCCTTCTAGTAGCTCAAACTGTTTTAAAAGTAATTTCTTTCTTTTTATATCTCATCTTCAGCTTTGGTCAAATCTACATTCCAATTATGCTTTTGCATTTACTGGATTTCTTTAGGTTCTAGGTGCTACTAGATTTATTTAGGTTTTACGTGCAATTTGGGGAGACTACCTGCATGCAGTTAGTTGAAGTTGGTGGTCATCAGCTTGAACAGCAAAGACCTGACTCCTTTTTAATGGACTGGAAAAAAAATGTAGCCTGGTTTGACCCTCAGTTTTTGAAGGTGTTTGTAATCTGTGGGTTACAAACATCACAAGAAAAAAAAAAAAACACCTCATTCTTCCTCTCTGCTTTCTGCTCTTCTAGTTTCTGGTCATCTGCACTTCAGGGACTACTAGAGCTAGAAGTTGGATCCTTCTAGTTTATTTAAGATCTACATTTCTTTTTTTCTTTGGCTGTAGAGTGTAGGGTTAAGTATGGCAGGAGGAGACAGAGGGCAAGAGACCTGTGTCCAGTATCAAAGATGTGAACACGCAGTTTATTTAAATGGTAACAAAGCAATGTTCTCTGTTCTTCTCAGTTCCTCTTCTAATACACCTGACCATTCTGTTAGCAGAATGAAAAAGTCTAATGGTCACTGAGCTTATGGTTTTACCAGGCTGTCTGCAGTGACCACTCCTGAGTGGCATGAGCTAATTTATGTAGCCACAATAGTTTTCACTAAGAAAAAGCAGATACTGTAAGTTCATTACTTTGTATTTAATGGCATTTAGCGACAAAATGTCAAATAGAGATCAATCAGTATAGTTCCCTTTCTGAATTCTTTAATTGACTCATACCTAATCCCCTGGATAGAAAAGTATCCTCTGTACATTTTGTCATCATACTATTTGCAACCTTTTCCAGATCTTTCATGAAGATGAACAGCACAGATCTCAATGCTGATTCCTATGGGATTCCACTAGTAACTTTCCTCATTGTGAAAAATGGCCATTTATTTTTATCCTTTGTTTCCTGTCTTTTAACCAATTGTTAATCCTCAAGAGTGCCTTCCTTTTTATGCTTGACAGTTTAGTTTCTTTGAGTGTTTATTTCGACGAGTTGGAAACTCTGTAGAAACTCCATGCACCCTGCCTGTAAAGGAAGCACTATAGCAAGAGCTTATGGAAACCTTCTAAGAATTCTGCTACATTTGTGAGATTAATTTTTTTCTGCCAAAAAATATATTCCTCATTATGTTATGTATATCTATGTATCTGCTAATTGCATTTATTATTATTGCCTTCTTTTTTGCCTAATACTGAAGTAAGATTTACTGGTATGTAGCTTCTCTGAAATCTCTTGCCCATTGGGATCCTGGTTTGCCATCTTTGATTTGTCGGTATTCACACATGTTTTCATACAAGAGCTGATTTATTTTGCTGCATTGAAGAGACAACCATTTGTTCATAGACTTGCTGTAGAAGTCAAGTGAATGACACCTGGTCCTGTCCAAACTAATGATACAATGAGGGAGGAAGGGGGCAGTAGAGAACCACATAATACAAGTTTTGCTACTTGCTGTTGTGAAAAAAATGCACGATAAGGTGGGATTAATTTCAGCTACTAACCACTATCTTCAAAACCATCCATTGTGTTAGGGGGGTTGGAGGCAGCATAATTTTGTTGGGTTTTTTAGAAAGTTTTGGAGGGTCTTTCAAGGACAGATCACTAAATTTTCCAACACATGCTACTTTGGGGAAATAACTGCTTTTATAACTTCATTTGCTGTAACAAACACTGTCACTAAACTGTTCATGTGATTTTAATACATGGATTAATGTATGGGTTTAATATGTGGAATTTTCGTGATTCAGTTTAGTTCTTCTTTCCCATTCTTGATGACACTAAGAGTGTTAAGTTGCTTTTAGCAAAGGTGACCTCCTGTTTCCATTTATCTGCTACTTAGGTTTATTTTTACTTCTTCACAGCGTAGAAAACTGGCAATTTCCCTTACAAGATATCGACTCTTCTGCTATTGGGAATTTTTGGGTAGCAGATATTATAATTCAACTGATTCCTCTTTAGGAATAATTGGCTTGTAGCTGAGAGAGTTGCTACTTAAACAGCAGAGTGTGAGTGTGCGTGTGCTAGGGGGGAATTTTTATGTTTGCTTTGAAAGAAATACTTACTGCTGTAGAAAAAAAAGGAAGCAGAGAGACAGACGATAGGCATACGGATGTGCCGTAATAGCCCAAAGTGCACTTTGTAAACTATACTCAAGACCTTAAACAAGAAGATAAGGGTGATACATCATGTTCTTTGCTTTTTTTACCTCTCTTAGTGAGCCTTTATTTAAAAAGAAAATAGAAATGCTTGTGTAATTTCTGGGAGTAATGATTAAGGCAAAGAATGCTTATTAATGAGTTAAAGCAGAATACTATATCTGTTTGTTTTTTTTTTTCCCCAAGAAAAAACTTTAAATCAAGTAAATATAGGGCTACAGTTGAAACTAAACTTTTGCATATGTGTGTATATATATATTTATTACAATAATCATGATCTATGAAGACTATAACTTCTTAAAGTGAACTGCTTACTGCTTTTAGATAGCTTATTTGGGCCTTTAATACTGTTGCATCATGATACTGCTACAGGGCATGCATTCATCAGTGTATCTGTATGCATTTAGAACACATTAATCCTACATGTTTTCCCAAACTATAATGTACCATTTGGTATGTGACCCTCTCCATTACTGATTATATATGCCTTATTTTTGTTGAGTTCATCTTAATGTGTGGAGATGATGAGTCATTTTTACTGAGAAGATGTTCTGATGAATGTCTATTGAGTGACTGCTCTTTTGCAGGTGAAGTGGATGATGTACTGGATTGTGTTTGCCTTTTTTACCACTGCAGAGACACTCACAGACATTGTTCTTTCTTGGTGAGTTCCTTGGCGGCATGTTTTTTTTTCTGTTGGTTGTGGTTTTTTTAAAGAAGAGAGGAGTAGAATTAGGATGCTAAGAATAAACTGTCTCTCCTTTAGGAGTTTTCAATCACTATGAACAGTATGCAGGTTTGTAGATATTGTGGGTAGTAGCTGGTGACTTAGCTGTTTCATCTCCTATACTTGCAAACAGTTAGGATAATTACACAGTATCTGTAAGAGGATCTTCATTCATAACAAAAAATGTTTTTGAGAAACTGTTAACGTGAACTGGTAAAGTTTGAGAAATGGTGGTCTAAAAGACATTTTTAAAAAAAAAAAAAGATTGTAGAAGGAAGGGACCTATTCTGCTTTCCTAGCCTGTTATGTGGAGGAGCAGATCAGATGCATGTCTGTGCTCTGAGTGGTGTTTTGCGTGATGAAATTCTCTTCCACTAGTAGGGGTGGGTGGGGTGGAGTGGAGTTGGAGGAAGCAGATTCTTAATCCTTTCAGTGCTGTGTGTCACGCTTGGCAATATGGAGGCCTCCAAAAATGACAAATCATCTTTACATGCCTTCAACTGAACCTTTGGAACAGGATATCTTCAGTTTCTTCATTGCTTTGGTGTTTGCATACATCTCTGAAAGAATGCTAGTCAAGAGTTGCATCTTTTAAAGAAACGTGAAATAGCTACACGTGCCTTACAAAACTGCTCAGTAGGTTTCCCTCTTCCTGTATAAACTTTGAAAACCAAAGATCTAGAAAGTACAAGAGCTTTGGCTTGTTCACATACTTAAAATGGACTATAGAAGACAGAAGTCTCTTGCTACTAATAGAGACAGTAGAAAGTTTTTGTTCACTTGTTTCAATCTCTGCTACTGTAATCTTTGCAGAGGCTTTATTGTGTAAGGGTTAGAGATGAAACGCTTACATGCTGCCTGCTCTTTTTCATTTACACTGATCTTCCTTTTGTGTCTTATCTGAGGAGTACCTACTGGAAATTTCAGGAACTGATCCATCAGCCTTAGCAGGAACTTGAGATTTATTGAGATACATAGTTGAAAACTTTGGCAAATGAGAGGGAAATTAATATTAACATCCAGTGGATACTCTCTGAACAAACTTCAGAATCATGAGAGTAGCTAGCAGATTGTAATTTGATGTGTTTGCAGGGCTGAGAGATGCCCTGTTTATGGAGTTTTCATGGCTATGGATGAAAGACTAAATGAGACTCGAAGAAGGTATGTCCTAGGATTCCAAAGAGGGTTCTGCTATTCTGACCTGATATATCGATTCCTTTGTTTCTGAGCTTTTATCTTGCCTTTGCTCTTTCTGCCTATGGTGCTCTCTACCAGTTATCTCACCTGTCTCTGTGCTGATCTTGATTCCAGTTCTCCATCTTTCTCTCTCTCTCTCTCTCTGCCCCCCACCCCCCCACCCCCCCCTTCTCTCAGGTTTCCCTTTTATTTCGAGCTGAAAATCGCATTTGTGATTTGGCTGCTCTCCCCTTACACCAAGGGCTCCAGTGTCCTCTACAGGAAGTTTGTGCACCCAACGCTCTCCAATAAGGAGAAGGTACTTGCTTGTTGTTAGAAGATACTGACCTGTCTGGGAACTGACTGACTTCTGATTCAGTTATGCCACAATAAAAACTGAAATGTGTGAATCATGCTTGTGCTGACATTAGTGGATGTAGAATGATTCTGTCTCTGACAACAATGTCGTAGTGCAGCTTACTGAAGATTGTAATGTAGCCAGTAGTTTGCCTAATGCTTAGAAAGCATGTTTGGCTAACCCAGTGTCATGAGCCCTTATAGTCACTGTCAGTCGTTAAGCTCTTTGACTCATGATAGGAACAGCATGTTCTGTAGCCATGCTGGTTTTTCACATTCTCAGTATAAGCAACTCTTTGTTTCAGTTGTTACAATTTGGAAATAGTATACTTTGAGTTGCATTTGCAAGCTGTCTGTAAGTAGCAGAGAAACTGCAGTTACCTGATCAATGGCAGCTGATGCTGGTAGCCTGAAAAAAAGCGTCCAGATGAGCTTTAGGTTTTTAAGGGTGATGGTGGGGAGACTTTGATCATGTTTGTAACGAGGAGCTAAATGCCATATTCCACATTGCCTTCCTAGGAAATTGATGAATACATTACTCAGGCTCGTGACAAGAGCTATGAAACCATGATGCGAGTTGGCAAGAGGGGGTTAAACCTTGCTGCTAATGCAGCAGTTACTGCAGCTGCAAAGGTAATGCAACACCTTCTCTAATATTCAGGAATTCCCAGCAGTTTAAATTTGTGTGCCAGCTATTAGTGCTATGGGTCTGTTAGGGACGCTGGTACTTGTTGGCACCAATCTACTTTTCCTTTCCTCCACTTGTCTTGCAGTTAATCTCATCTTTTGACTTAAGAAAAGTGGAGGGAGAGTGGAATGGATTTTGCTTTAATCTCTTCCCTGTTGGTCTTGGGACCATACTTTTCTTTTTCCCTTCTGTTTTTGTTTTTGTTTTTTTTTTTTTTCCCCCAGGGTACCCTAGTGGGGAATAGGGCACCTTTCCTCTTCTTCTGAATGATCCCATGTGAAATGATCTTGGTGAAGCTGAAATGCTCTTGTCCCAAATTTTTATGTCCTCTTAGGGCCAGGGAGTTTTGTCTGAGAAGCTGCGAAGTTTCAGCATGCAGGATCTCACTCTGATCCGGGATGAAGATACTGTGCATATGCGAAGCCGTGAGCCACAGCTGCACGCCTCTGGTGGGAGTCTTCTTGAAACCATTGAGGATTCAGGTAGAGAACACCCCTGCTGGGCCATTGTATGAGGCCTCATATGGTGAGCCAGGAGGGGAGGAGGGGTTCCCTGAACTTTTCATGCATTGGGTCTCAGAAGAACTACAAGATTCCAAATTATCTGGGAGAAGTTGCATTGTCTTCCCTAGTCCCTTCCCATCTACTAACACATCTCATGTTAGTAGCGTGGCCAGCAGAACTAGGGAAGTGATCGTCCCTTTGTACTCTGTGCTGGTAAGGCCGCACCTTGAATACTGTGTTCAGTTTTGCGCCCCTCACTACAAGAAGGACACTGAGGGGCTGGAGCGAGACCAGAGAAGAGCAACAAAGCTGGTGAAGGGCCTGGAGAGCAAGTCTTATGAGGAGCGGCTGAGGGAGCTGGGGTTGTTTAGTCTGGAGAAAAGGAGGCTGAGGGCAGACCTTATCACCCTCTACAACAACCTGAAAGGAGATTGTAGCGAGGTGGGGATTGGTCTCTTCTCCCCGGTAACTAGCAATAGGACAAGAGGAAACGGTCTCAAGTTGCGCCAGGGGAGGTTCAGGTTGGATATTAGGAAGAACTTCTTCACTGTAAGAGTTGTTAGGCACTGGAACGGGCTCCCCAAGAAGGTAGTGGACTCACCATCCCTGGAGGTGTTCAAAAAATGTTTAGATGTGGCGCTTCGAGACATGGTTTAGTGGATTTAGCAGGCATGGTGGCATCGGGTATATGGTTGGACTTGATCATCTTTGAGGTCTCTTCCAACCATAATGATTCTGTGATCTCTGTACTTTTTGAATTATCCTTCTTAAGGATTGTTGACATCTACCTTTCCTGTGGTCCTTCAGGATGGGCCATTTTAGACTTCATATGATTTTTCAAAAGTATTTGCTAAGACTTTCTCTCTTATTCCTTAGCTTCCTGTTACTCCTCAGGAGAGGAGAGCAGTGTGGCACAGAGGTCTAATGGCACCCCATCTGAGACTAGAACAGACCCATCTGATGAAGATGCAGGAGACAAACTTCCTAAACGTACCCAGAGTCTCAAAACTCCTAAGAAGATGATGAAAGCTGAGGTGAGCTGGTTTGTAAGTTATTTCCAGCACAAACGTTAATTTGTGAGCTTTGTTGGAAGGCTCTGGCTTCATAGTCTTGGTGCATTTAAAAGCTGTTTATGTAAACTTTGTTGGACTGTCTTTGCCAGTTGAGTCCTACATCAAAGGACACGCCGTCTACTTGCTATACTAGTCTCTAGCTTCTGTATTTTTATCATGCTTGTAAGCCTGTGTCATAAGCCAGGACCCACCTTTGCTTTCCTTCAGGTTTTGTGTTGAAGGGTGTGGCATTAGGTATTTTTAACATGTTTTCTGGACTATATCCTCTCTCCTGTCTATTACAGTCTGAATATATAACACTACTGTAACATTTATCCTTGGAACAGCCTCTTTCTCCTCATCTGAAATGCAACGGTTCTGTACCCTCTTAGGCCTTCCTGGACTTCTGCATATTAGATATGGGGAAAATGTAATTTCCCCCTCTACTCCCCATCCCCCCTGCTACCTGCTACTCCAGGTTTTTGTCTTGAAGTTTGGGTAACTAGTAATTGTTGAACTGTCCCCTCCATATATCTGTGTGATGACCCAAGATATTTACAGCCATTCAGATGGGACATGAGTTGCCTGTCATCTCGTTATTAAAACAAATCATACACAAAAATAAATGTAATTGTGTCCAAGAGCCATTTTAGCTTAACAGTCTTTTTTTTCAGTTGTTGGTGTGCTTTGTAGAATATGCTTTTTGAGGTGCTGCATTCCAGGTTTTGACTCTTACTTGAACTTTTCTTGTCGTTTGATTTATATGTGATAAAATGCTTCTCCCTTTTTGTGAAGTTGGGGTCCTATTTGCTTATTTCAACTCGGACTCCTTATTTTATTTTTTTTACGATAGCGTGCTATATGACTGGCTCGCATTGCCGAGCTTTTCAGGCTAAATATTAAATAATTTGGAGGAAAGTAATTGCTTAGAGCATCATTTTAAGTTGTACTGTTAAGCTGATTTTACAGTGTACAGGACACTTTTGCATGTGATTACTCTTTGTAACAGAATAGTTGAGGTTGGAAGGGACCTCTGGAGATCATCTGGTCCAACCCCACTGCTCAAGCAAGGCCATGTAGAGCCGGTTTCCCAGGACCATATCCAGATGGCTTTTGAATATCTCCAAGGATGGACATGTATGTCTAAAGATGCATTTAAAATCAGCTTGAGTATTTTTTAAATTCCCAAGCCTTACTTCTGAGTTGACCCCTCTGCTTTCTTCTGTAACATACTGGACAGAAGCAGGGAAACAAGAGGAACAAAATTTGATTCCAAGCTTCTTAGTGAGGAATTTTTAAACTGAAATCGTGAAAGACAGTAACGACTCTTCTATGCTGTTTACTGTGAATTCAGTAATTCCGATAAAGCCCTTTGCAGGCATATTGTTTTTTGTGCTCAGTCTGTTTGAATCTTTGGTTCAGATGTAGGAATTGTAGGAGGTCTTTGACTGAGATCTCTGAGATTGCCTGGAAGGGCTGAATGCATCATAGATCATAAATGCACTCTTTTTGCCAATATCTAGAATGAAAGACACTGGAGTAAAGTGTGCAAACTAGTTCAAGATGTTTCTGCATCTTTCAGAGAACAACATTTGGGATGGCAGTCAAGAAGCAGAAAACTTACAGCAGTGAAGTGTTATGTGAATGTTACCAGTTAGAAATATTTCTATGTCTAATCTTTTGTCGAGACAGCTGGCTTCGATTTTATTATCAAATTTGTCCTGTTGTAGAATGTCCTCCTCTCCTGGTTGCTATTTGATGGATATGCTCAGAGTGATTTGTTTACTAACCAACAATAAATGGAATGGTTAAACAGCCTATTTGAAACAACGGACGACATGAGTAGGTTTATCATGTTGTAGTTGTTTTGTCCGATTTTAACTCTGCATTCTTGTATACTTCTGTTAGACATTCAGGTGTTAACGTAAACTAACCTAAGATGCCTTTCTTTCTTTCTCCTCAGCTTCCGGTAAGAAGCGTGAAAGCCCGTCCTAAGAAGAAAGCTGCAGGCTCTCTTGCTTCTGGCGAGTCATCCTAAGGAGACTTCCACCTCCCCAGTACCTCTCTCTGTCCTGGGACTTGCCTGTCACTTTTGAGGGGAAACTCCCCAAAGGAAGGGAGCTGAGATCCATGTACATAACAGATACTGCTTTGTAGAGCTCATTCCAAGGCAAGGGGGAGGCTGGGATTCAAAAAATGGAGTAGAGGATACATATCCTTGGGAATTTTCTCCTTTTCATCTCTCTGTTGGAGGGAATGCTGATATGTCTGTACATAGCCTGTTGCTTTGGAATTCCCACTGTATAACCCTAGTTGGGGAGAATCTTTGCTGGAAGAACTGACTAGGGTTAGAGACATCCATAGCACAGAAGCTGCAAAAATATTAGACGCTGGAGTTCCACGGGGGTGGGTGGCTCCCTAAAATGTTTTATCTTGCTCTGGGTATTCTTCCGCAGCTGTGTATTGTTAAGAAATGCCCACCATGATTCATCCTCCTTAAGAATGGACTGTACCTGTCATGTCCATCCCCTTTGAGAAGGTGACTGAAATGATGTATGCTGAGTGCTTTTTGAACATAAAGGACTAGCTCATGGGAGGAGTATGCCTGATTCCCATTACTAGTACTGGAAGGTGAAGAGATTGTTTGTTTTTTATTTTATTTTTTTCTGGAAGGTGAAGGGAGATAATTGAAAAATGAAGTAATGAAGAAAGTGTGCTGTTTTATGCATATGTGATGGAGTAGATACAGATATCTGTAAGAGTTAACTATTGAGCAGGAAAGGTGGGCATCCATAAGACTTCGTCTCTTTTTGAAGCTGCTTGAATTTTATTTCAGGTTCTGTTCACTTTGATTTCTGTGAGAGCATCGGAGTGAGGCAAGTCCCATGCAGTGGGAAGAGTTGGCAGGGAGGCTGTTGCTTTGCCATTTGGTGGTTGAACTCTATGTCATCCTGATGCTTGTTATTACGGACAAATTCTTTCATTCTGGTAGATGACTGGGGAAAATCTGGCCAAGAATAGTCTGCGCACATACTTGAGAATTTCAGAAGCCCTTATCTCTCACTTTAGGAAATCCAGTCATCAGGGCATGAGAACTGATAAGTAGCTGATGTATGAATTTTGCTAATTCCAGGATTCAATTTCTGGGGGATAAAAAGCAGGGAGTAGGGCACAATACTGTGATTAATCAGTCCTCTTGCTTCATCCTACTGCAGCCCTTGCACAAATTGTCTGTCTGACCATGTGCCATGTTTATCAATGTCCTGAGACTTGAGCAATATGTAACACTTGGGACAGAACTACACTGAATGTAGCATATGTATTGTGGGAGTGAAACTGCAGAGCTGCAGAGAAGATTGGCATCATGCCAAGCCATACTGGATCCTAATGTGTTGAACATTGTTAAGGGGAGATCCTCTGTACACATACCAGCAGAGTCAATGGGAATTTATGAGAGGAGTAGTATTCCTGTTGTTGAGATCTATAATGGAGGAGCACCATTATAGACATAGTTATCTGAATGAATACTTGATGGTCTTAATCTTCAGTGAAACTAGTTATCAAAGGAACCTGGCTCCTCCTTCCCTACTGAAGACCATTCTTAGCTCTAGTTGCAGGCATTTGTGTTTGCTCATGCCTTTTGCTGTCACATTTTTGAAATTACCGTGGATTCTTCGCAGAGCCCAGTATCTTGCTGTTGACAACATATAGAAGCATTTCTGCAAGTAACGTTCCACAAGTATTTCTGTCCTAACAGCCCTTCAAAAATTTGTAGAGTTGAAGATTAGAACTGAATTTTTTCTTGTTTCCAATTGTATTGGTAGCAAATTGTTATGAATTGACTAGTTATTTTAGGAAACCAATTAAGTTGGTTTTATTTGTAGCTTTTAAAAATTGAAGTCTTGACAGACCATGTCAGAAACTTGCATCTTGTCAGAAATACTTGTCCTAAATTATCCACAAGGCCTTATCTAGAAGCCAGTAGAAAATCCTTGATTTGGCTTTGAGTTTCACAAGAAAAACCCAATTATTTTGTTCTTTTTAGTTTGTTAGGAAACATTGTGTAAGTGTCTCACTAGTACATGCAAAGGCATATCCTGAAGCAGGAATTCTTTCTGTTTCCAAAGGAAAATCCTCTGTCCATAATCAGTAAAGATTTTTATCACTCTTATGAGGAAGATTCAGTTGTGGGGAATTGCTGTCCTGGATTTTACTCTACCAAACAAGATAGAACCATTATTCTTTATATACCAAGTATCTCTATGACCACATTTCTTGAAATTTTTTTTAAAACAAAAAATTTCTGTAGCAAATTATTTGTATAAATCATTGTAAGGGACTTGATTTGGAAACCAAGGGTTGGTTAGTCTCCCCTTATGCTGATCTTCGTGCCCTTTTCTTGTGCGTGTGTCATGATAGTCTTGGTTTTCATACAGTGACTTTCCAGATTTTTTTTCTAGAATCAGTTAATTTCTAGTAACTCTTCCTGCTTTGAAGCACAGGAGGAATTTCTGAAGACTCGGTTTTGGCATTTGGATTTACCTTTGTCTTCCTGAGCTAGGTCCTGTGCTAAGTATCTTTAACTTAGCATTGATGCTTGATGTCATTAGCCTGTGGGTAAGTACGGGTCAGTCTTATTCTGACTTTTGTTGTACAGGGGAGTTAAATGACTTCTGGTTGTAAGACAGAGTCTGAAGTGGAGTCAGAGACTATTATGTAGTGTGTAGTATGAAGCTGATGATGTCAAGCAGCAGAACTTACCCAGAGCAAGAACACTGTCTTAACACAGACACTATTTTCTTCTTCCAGTACAGATTGTGCTCTGCTTGATCAAAGCCTCTGCAGATCTGCCACCACCCACGTGACCTCTTAGTGAGTTTCTAGATACAGTTCTGCATTGGATGGCATGGTCTTGCATAGAAATTCTCTTGTTAATGAGAACGCTGAATGTGCTGTTTTGATAAAATGCTTTTATCAGCTGTTGTTCAGTGTTTTTAGCAGGAAATGCTGGAATGTAGTTTCTCTTCAGTATCATCTGTGAGCTTCATTGTGCAATTAGGCAAATGGTTAAATCTTCACCTAGCAGTAGCACCTGTTGTGTTCAGTAAGTGTTTATACCCCTTTCCTAATATGCCTGGGCACAGAGAGAAACGCAGTAAGAGAAGATACCTTAAATTGAGGGGGGATGTGGGAGGGTGGTACATGTGTGTGAAACTTTGTGTGCCTAAAAGTTATCCTAAAATACCTGTACCGTGAGATAAAAAGTGAAGCCATGACTGCCTTTTGGAAAGAAATGTTGTACCTCCACGCTTTATAATACTATGGGTCAGTGTTCTGCTGTTGAAAAAGAAAACAGTGAATTGTGATTTCCCTTCTGAGCAGCTTAATGATTTGCTGCATAAAAGGGAAAAATGTTTTCTTGCTTGGCAGTATCCTCCATGGTGAGTAAGAAATAGGAAAATATAGGGGAGACTACTGTCAGGTTTTAAACCTTACACTTCAACTAAACATCTTAATTTCTGACTGTTCTTTAACGATTTTCTGATTCTCCAGCCTTACATTTTCAAGCCTTGGGGATTGGTTTCTTTCAGACTAGATTGACTTCCTTGGTAGGTAGAGGGTGTATTAGGGAGAGGGATGCTGGTGTTCTTAAAATTGCAAAACTTGTTCTGGGGAAGCTACACCTTCCCCTATTTTAGTGAATTGAGTTCCATTCATTGTCCTTTTGCAAAGGCCCTTTGCTGGGCTTTCTTTTTTATACATCCCTCTTGGAAGTGTGAGTTCCTCACAAAATACGGCCAAGTTATTTCTGCCTTGAAAAGCAAGATTTCTAGAGAAACTGGACTTTCCAGAAATTGTTATTTATTCTTTGCCATCTTAGTCAGCAAGGGTGCCTTAGGAGGAATGTGAGATAACTATGGAATACTCAGCTGGTTCTCTGATCTGCACATAGCATTGTATCAAGGAGGCTTGCATGTTAACTGTGAAATGTCATTGTATGCTTGAGAGCAGCTATTGAATTGCGCTGAGTTTTCCTCTCTGTCTTCCAAACTTGCATATAATGCTGGGAAGTGTGGCTTATTGCCTAAGAGAGAAATCTAGGACGGAAAAAAAATATTCTTCTTTCTGATGGGGACACTGTATTGTCACTTTTCTCTGCTGCTTGCTGGGGAGATGCTGAATAACATCTCTCTATGTAACTGGTCAGTACTATAGCTTTTCTTGCTTTACCCACTAAGAATTTGGAATGTGCCACCTGGTTGAAGCATCTTGTGCTTCTGCTTTCTGAGTTGCCCTGTAAAGTCAGATATATGGAAAACCAGCAAAGTATTCTGAAGCTGTATGAGCTCATAGAATCATAGACTCGTCGGAGTTGGAAGGGACCTCTGGAGGTCATCTGGTTCAACCTCCCTGCTCAAGCAGGGCCACCTAGATCCAGTTGCCCAGGAGTTCCTGTGTGCTATTTGTGGTCTGGAGCCTACTGAATTTAATGTTTAAGAGCTGGTATGTGCAGAAATGTATATGCTGTATGGGGATGTGCTTTAGTGTTACTGAGGAGAAAGGATTCCTGGCACCTTTCATCTGGAATTTGGCACTATTACAAGACCCTATAAAGATAACTCAGTCTCATGTTATTTGTAGGTATTGTTAAGAAGCCTAGAGGCTTCAGAATAGATCTTAAGAGGTATGCAGAATAATTTGTGAGAACAATTGGTTTGAACAGTAAATGAAGGCAATAAACCTGCATAGCAGGTAAGAACCTGCCTTGTGAGATAGAATTAGAGTGGAAAAGGGGCTGTGTACAGTACAGAGTTGTCCAGGAAATACTGCTGAGTTTCTGATCCTCAAGCAATACTTAAACTCTGCGCTCTACAGATTAGAGCTTGATTTCTGTCTTACAAAACCTCTCTCGCTGTGTCTTACTTTTCTAAGCTGGGCTTGAGCTACATGCATTGAGATTCTTGAACCTTTAATCACTTCAGAGCAATAAAATTTGAATTTTACCTCGGCAGGCAGCTGATCTGCAGGGAGGACCAGATGAATATCAAGTATCTCGCATCACTTTGTAGTAGATGTGTTAGGCTGGGAAGCACCAGCAGGGAGCTCCAGAGGATACATTCAACTGGGAAGTTACACACACACACACACACACACATGCACGCCCGCACACCCACCCCACCCCCCTCCCCCAAGGCCTACATTTTTGGACAAATGTGATGCTGGACTTAGCTGTGTATATAAGCATAGCAATCTGTAGACCCCCAAAATTCAATGTCAGAATTGCCAGTGCTCTATTTCTGATGAGAACTGGAATTAACATAATATTGAGGTGAAAGAAAGTGGCAAATCGGCATTTTTTTCTGCAGTTTTGCAG